AGAGGGGAATTTAAGGAAAATATGATTGCTCCAAGACCAGATGCAGAATCTGGTGTATCTAATGATTTTGTAGCAAGTTTCCATCAGGTGTTCTTTTCTAAGTAAAACTAAACATGCTTACCAAAATATTTCCTCTGACCTTCAGCTACTAGAACTATATCAAATTAAAGCAGGCAAAAAAAATTTTCCTTTCTGAGCAAGAGAGTACTTGCTGAACAAGAATGGCAAAACACCATTATAGTGAGCTTCCCTTCTGCTGAAGTGTGGCATTACAGAGGATATTTAATTGAAGTCTGTTTTCTCAGACTCTCGGGGTCTAATTTGGATTTTAATTTGGGCCAGGTTCTCTAAGGACATAAGCAGAGGACTCGTTTTGTTCCTGGGAGTAGTGAGTAACTCTTGAATATTTTCAAGATTACAGACCTGTGTGTAGTGAAAATTATGAATAATTTAGTTAATCTCAGCGGAGCTGCGTTAGTGAAAACAAGAAAAGATTCATCATCTTGGAGTCTTGGTGAAATTACTGCTTTTAGATCTGTGTGAGCTGAAGATGTATTTGAATGATATCTTGTAAAGCATGCTAAAACAACAATACAGGCACAACACACAGAAATGGAGTGGTTGCCATAGGATATGCTTTACTAAGACTTAATCTGAACTTAAACTCATCTCTAAATAATATCCCACTTTTTTTCTTCCTTTTAAAAACAGGTGTAAGTGTAACCTTCATGCTACTGGCTGTAAAGAAGAAAACAAAAGACTACTTTGTGAATGTGAGCATAACACAACTGGCCCAGACTGTGGAAAATGCAAGAAGAATTACCAGGGCCGACCGTGGAGCCCTGGTTCTTATCTGCCTATACCTAAGGGCACTGCTAATATCTGTAAGTAGTTCTGTATAATAAGAATATTTCATTATTAAAATTCTGTCCCTTGTCATGACTCTGAAGGAAGATAAATATCGGCAAAAGTTTGTCATTTCTTTATGACCCAGTGCGTATAATTTGACAAGGTGTCAAACTGTAAGCGTTAGTTGTAAGTATACATCATCTGTGCTCTTACATGGTTGTAGATGACTTGCATGAGAACTGCATGTTTGTATCCATAGACAAATCTCTGGACACTGCACAGAAAGGGCTAAGGAATGAAAAAATTAGCACACTTCACACAAAAAGCACATGCAGAGGAAAGAAACCAGTGGGAATATCTGCAGTACTGCTCCAGCCATGGCACCCTCAGCTTTCCGTTCATACATCCTTACTGCCTCGATATTCAAAATAACCTCAGCTCAACATGTGAGATGAGGTCCTTGCTCATTTTTTGTCCATTTAAGAAAGTTTAAAAATCTCAGACCAAATTTTTCCAATTAATAACTAAAGATCTAAAGGTTGGTAAAGGAAGTTTTTACCTGATGTTGATCTGCAGTCCAGATTCACATGCACTCTTCAGATCACTGTAAGTGTTGAAGGGGGAAAGTGAAGGCAAAACCTGAGTTTTTATATCTGATTGATTCCAGCTAACAGCCTTTCAACAACACACATACTCAATATTCCAGCACACTTTTCATATTGTCCAAAGGAAGTTACTGACCGCTGCATTTCCTGGTCCTGGACAGGACTGGGTCAAAAAGAACATGGCGCTGAAAGAGAGGGCACAAAGACAAGCATGAGCTGCACTTCTTCCTTTCATGCATGTATGAAATACACAATGATTCAGAATCCTCCTGAACTGAGTAACAGACTTAAATTCCTTTGAAGAAAGGATTGAAGAAGATGAGGATAAATCAGCAAACCTTTTGACAGAAGTTACTAGCTTCTTTTAAGAAAAGAGTCCACAGTTTTGCCCTGATTAAAAGCAAAACATTCATGAATATAACAATTTACTGAAAAGTTATTTGGGAGAAACAGAGCTATGTACTGCAGCTGAATGAAAAGTTTAAAACCAGGAGCAATGTGCAATGCTCAGAATGTTATCTAAGACTTCAAAGCAGCAGCTGTGAAGAATCAAAACTCAAAAATTAATATCATAGGAAGCAGGACCTTATCAAGTTAAATGTGAGAGTAATAGACCAAGTAACAAACCGTGAAGTGTGGGAGCATGAAATTATGATAAAATTCTTACTGAGCAGAAAAAAAATGAACTTCCAAAAAGCAGGAGAAAAACATTTTGTAAGAGTATTCACTTTTTTGCATGTTACAAAAAGTGAGTGTGGCTCACAGAATTAATATTTTAAAGCTATGTTTGGAAAAAATGGTGAGATTTACCAGGTTGGTTTTATATATTTTTATATATATACACACTCATACATACGTATTTATGCACATATATACATTTTTATATATATATATAAAATGCAGTTGCTTCCCCAGCAATCATCTAAGCTAGGAATAAGATACATATGAACACGAAAACAGATATCTTTCTAAATGCAGCTTTCCATATCAGTTACATCATTTCCAATCAGTTGAGCACACACCAGACGGAACAGTGGAATTAGCGCCCACCGAAAGGATGCCTGAAGCTTGTTAAAACAACTTTCAGCATTATTGCATTCCATCACGTATACAGTTCCATCAAAAATCAAAACCTTTGGCAAGTAATAGGCACTTTTCTGATTTTTTTAATTATTGTTATTACTATTATTACGATAGCATCATGAAAACGTAACCTTGTTTGAGCTGACGAATGCTCCACTTACCCTCAAATCCTGACTTCAGCAATGATCATCAGCAGAAATTTATGGCAAATGGGAAGAAGTATGGTGAACGTACAAAGATTTCTTCTTTGCCTTCCCAGCTGCCAGCAATAAACTAGCTTTCTGAGCTGGACCCTCCATTATATCACCAGTGGTTGCTAGCTGCTGAGTGGAGAGAGAGATGCAGCTGTCATAAGCTTGATCCTGGTGACATCCTATGGCAATACATTTCACGTTTTAATGACAAAATGAGTGAAATATATTTCCTTTTGTTTGCTTTAAATGTTTTTCTTTGGTTAGGTCTGTACCTCCTTAGATAAGAAAAACAGAGAATAATGCAGCCCTATTTACATCCATTGTACTATTTATGATTATATAGACTTGATGTGTCCACTTCTCCAATCTATATTCTAAATGAGAAATCTTAAATCTGTTTAACCTTATCAAATATAAAACTTTGCCACATCTCTGGTCATCCATGCTTTCTTGCTCTCTTCTAGATCTATGATGTCATTTTTTTATTTAATAAGGCTAAAACTCACGTGATATTCTAGACATGAGAACAACATGGATCTTTTACAGTGGCATAAAAATATGTCTGCTGTGTATTTTGTTATTACAGGCATCAGCCCTTGAGTCCTTTTTAAAGTCTGTGCCACAGTTACAACATTTCTTCTGGCACCAAGGCTGACATAAGTGACAATTTATGTGTTACAGTAGTTAGTTCAGAAATGTCATATTTGAGTTCCTTTAAAATACTTTTTTCGTTGAACATCACCTTATGGCAATTCTTATTGTTTGATATTATTTATGTCTTCTAAAACACCTTCAGGTGATTGATAAACTTTCTCAAACTGTGAGAATCTCTCTGACCTCCTTTGTTGCGAACATTCGTGAAAACAATTAATTCAATATTCAGTACTTTTTATGCCTTGATTACCTATCTACTCAAACATCTCTCTGGGCACTTCTTTCTGCTTCTAGTGTGGTTATTTTAACAAAAAAAAAATACTAATTTTTATGTCTGTAGCAAGTTGATTCTCAAAATACTGTGGTTTATATTTAACTTGACAGGTTTTATGCTTTTTTTCCCTCTCTTTCTCCATTGAGATTGCTTACACTTTTGAAGGATGTCTTTCCAAAATCTCCTTCATTCTGCTGTTTTGGGTTAGGTGTTGGGGTTTTTTTGTTTGTTTATAAGATAGTTGATTTTTATAATTTTTTTAAAAATTGATAGGTTACATGTGATTATTCTGTCTCTAGCCTGCCTCCATGCTGTTTGCATTAAATCTTTTTAGCTGTTCTTTTCATTTTTCTTTTAACTAACTTCCTCATTTTTATCCGCTCGCACTCTGAAAGTTAAATATTACTGCAGTGGATGTTTTTTGTCCTTTCCTTCTCAACAACTATGTTGACTTTCAGTCCAGAAGTGGTTCTCTGAAAACTGCTTGAATCGGGTGCTATGTACTACTCAGAGCTAGATCAGCTTCTCATCTTGTGGGTTGTCTGATTACTTGCTACAAACAGCAATCATTTGTGGTATGTAAAAGCTTCATTTCTTTTGTCACTTCCTCATTTAATGCCATATGTGTTGCACCATATGAAATTTTGCATTATTGTGTAAAATTTCTGCACAGCCAATGTAATTTCACTTACCCTGTTGCATTTATGTCACCGTCTCCATCATGTGGTCAGCAGTGCAGCCTTAGCATTATACTCTCCCTAGTCAGGCATAAATTCTGTAAATAGTTGCTGGAACATGTTGATACAATTAACTTACCTGTTTTGACCCTAAATTTCCTTTGATGCATTACTTCAATTCCGTGAGGACATTTTGCATAATCCAGTAATACAGTATCCCTTTGATACTCTTCCTTTCTCCAATTTTCAGAGTCTATCTTTTCCATCTAAGACCAAAATATTTGAAATTTTAAAGGGATTTGAAGGTTTTTTTATGAGTGTGTTTAAATAAGATACAACTAAAATAGTTATATAAATGAAACAGAAAATGTTTACACACAATAAAAAGATCACTTTTCTTGAGATTCTCTGGATTCAGGAAATTTGCTCAGATTCAACAAGAAGCCTAATGTCCATTTCAAAATCTTTCCCAACCGGAACTTCTCGTTTCCACTCTTCTGCTTCTGCCATTTTTTTGTGGCCAAAGACTTTATTATACCTTCTCAAGCTACAGCTTATGAAATACAAGACCATTCTAGCTTATACTCCAGTCATAGCCTAAATCTTGGTGTAAAGCTGTTTTCTGTATCCTTCTTATTTTAAGTCAACGAGTTTCTCAGGAGAAGGCAAAACGTGTTCTCCCAGCTTTGCTTCTGAAAGACACAGAGTAGCCTGTTGTTCACTAGCGCTAACAATACTTCCCCGTTTGTCTCCCGCATAGCATTTCTTTTATATTTTCACTCTATTTTATTGACTATTTTGTGATTACATTTATTCCCTTGTGCTGCCACATTCTATGGATAGTTTGTTCTACAATATGTTTTGACACTCAAAGTGAACTTATTGAATTTCTCTATACTTGGTATTACAAGATAGCTTTTCTCCTCAGCAGTCATATGTGTCTGACAGCACTAGTCCTTTTCTTCCTCCTGTTGTTTAGATCATCTTTGGCACTTATGTTCTTTGGTCTGTCAGACAGAGCTGTCTAAGACTATGCTGGGCTGCCATCCATCAAAGCTTGCTCGCTTTTTGTCAGTCCCTCCACAACCAATAACCTGTACCAGCAGTGCTGGACACTCGGTGAAAACCGCCTCCCAGCTGTTAGATGACTTCCCTAATTTGCAGTTCAACGTGAAACAAAGGATTGACCAGAACACAGGGAACATTGGTGGTTCTTTTCAGTCAACAGTTAGGCAGATTGTCTCACTCAGTTTACTGAATTTCTTCTGCAGTGGGTACCCCTCTGATAGTACCACCTCTGTCTCAGCAGAATGGCCTTCATCCTCCCCAAATGGGAAAAGACTGATGAGGCATCACTACAGCACAGCTGCCACAGAAACAGTTTCTGGCAGAAAAAATATGGCACTTGAAGTATTGCACTGATTACCCTCATCTGTTTGTAGTTTTCCCCATGAATATTTGCTGACACTAAGTCGTCTTGAAGGACTTGAATAAATGAAGTTGGCCAAGAGTTTGTGTGATGGCAGGCTTTCTATTCAGGAATGTAAA